ACCAGGGTATATATTTTTCCCAAAAATTATTAAATGATACAAAGTAACACAGATATTAAATTCATTAAATTTGAGGTTATTTTTCTCTATTCCCTGCAAACGTATTTTGAACGCTTAAGCTAATGCAAAATAATAAACTCGAGTTTTAAGTAGATCAACATAAAACTTCCTGCACTTCGGCAAACGCATGCTAGTAACCTAAAAAACGAAAACAACGGTAATAAAGGTAAGCGGCTGCAATGCAACGACAGACACACACGGTTTTCTTTTCGCAAGAATTTAAGTATATTTCCACGCGTTGCCACACAGATAACTTTTTAATTGTCTCCTACTTGCTGTAGTCGTTTTCATATTTACTTTCTGGGGTCTTGGCGCACACGAATAAGTTTGTGCGGCGCTTGCATGCATTCGTGTCAAGTTAAAAGTTAAACAACAGCCAGCCACCGCACGTAGTCCAACACACTGATTCGTGCATAGCGAGGTGCGGCGAAGAAAACGAGAACGAGAACACAAACTACTTTTAAGAATATCGTGAAAAGAGAGGAAAAAGTAAAAAGCCGACGTAATGTGCGTAATGCATAAAAAATAAAGCCGCACAGATGCAGCGCGTACGTGCCGGCGGAAGTGAGTGATCTGCGTATGCGCACAGGAGCTTTCGCATTTAACTAGAGGCGCGGTAAAGTGCTGCTAAAAATACATACGTACAGCTTTTAATGTAGTTGTGGCAGGTATTAATGCAAGCTTTGGAAAATTGTTGCTTTTGAAAGTGAATGCGCAACAAAACGAAATGAGAAAATAGATTGCTTCAAAATGTGGCGGTATTTAAGCTCATTTCCGCAATGTAATTTACCTGTGAGGCTAAAAGTATTTACTTTGAAACATGGCGCACGCCTTTTGTCCTATTTTACTATGTATGTATTTCTGCAAGAGTTAATATTTACGCGAATGTTGCACAAGTCGCTAAGATAGCTTAGTACTGCTCGACATAACATAGCAAAACATAGCAGAGGATAGCATAGCATAGTATAGTATAGCACAGCACAACATAGCCCTGTAAAGCAGAGCATAGCACAGCACTATTCCTGTAGTATCCCTATAATAGTAACAAATAGCAGCCGCATGTGGACGCGTTGTCGGTTTAAGCTACCTTCAACTCAAATACATACTTGGAACAAACCTTTCAGTCTAAAATTTGTTTCTGAGTGCGTTGCGGTGGCGCGTTGAGTTAATGTTGCCCGCTTAATTGTTGCCATTTGCAGCTCACGGTTGCTGCTGTGCTGTGGTCGCAGTTTAGATTCCTACGACTGCGAGTGAGGCATATTTGGAGTGCAACTGCACCTGGAGAAACTTTGATGTGATTATAGAGAAAAAAATTAAGTTAATTATTTTTAATTCATCAAAATAGTGAGGTAAGTCGAGTACATATAGCATGAGTAGTGAGACCATATATCTGATTCCACGTCATTATTTTAGTTTTGGAACACTTTAGTAGTCCAATCTTCTTTGAGTGAATGAAGTGGATTTTCTTAATTAGAGCACTGGCAAGTACTGAAGTGTTGAGTTTTCTAAATTACGTCATAATAGGAGCAGATCTTATTTGTTCATCAAAAGTTCAGGACTAATAAGTGGAACGTTGTTATTGTAGCAGCAGGTAGACTCACCATATAATAATAATAAATGCTGTTGAATTGAAGGTCATTTGTCAAATAAAAGTGCCGACTTGTTTCGGTTAAGTAGACAAGTCTGTCGGAAGGCCCGATCGACTGCAATTTGAAGGCGAATGTGCACACTTCGTAATGATTAATGAAAATTCCACCAGTTTCTGATGCGGGGTTCTCCAAAACCTTAAGGAATTTTCACTCTTCTGTTGACAAATCTGGACTACAGGCTCTTCTGATCTCCACTATCTGGTCCAGCAGCACCTTGCCTTTGGCCTGTGCTCTGGAAATTTTTTAACAGCAAACGATTTAGCGGATGTCACACCCTTTGTCCTCGGTCTTTTGGCTAGCAGATTAGTCTCTTTAACTGACCTCTTGTCTTTCAGCTACCTCTTTTATAAGCTCCTCATTGGTTGACAGTTGCAGCTGTACCCTTCTGAGCAGGTAGCACGATGCCTCACCGTAGATGGGTTATCGACCTTAAAAAAAGACCGTTCTTTGGCAAATCCACTATTAGCGGCTTCACTTTTGCATCTTCTTTCCCTTCTTGCTTTGGCTACAAAGTTTGGTTCGGACTGCTACTGGTGCTGTTGCCTTCCTGGAGCTAGGCTAAGCATCAACTCCAGAGTTAGTGCCAGCCCTTGCACTTAGACTAAGAATAGCTCCTGTCTTTGTGCAGGCTTTTTTTTCGGGAAAGCTGGAGCCTTTTGAATTTCAATTTTGTGGTTCTGGTTCATAATATAGTCCCACGAGTGTAGGTGAAAAGAGATCAGCTTGAGCATAGTCCCCGCTACGCAAGTAAGCCCTTCTTATTACGGAGGGCGCCAGGTAACCGTAAGCTCCGTTCAAGACTGCGCAATTTAAGGGCCCCCGGCCAGGTTGATCCTCGGCACGGGTTGCATGAAACCAGCCCTTTTTCTACCCCCAGCTTTTGTAAAACGTCCTTTTGAATGATGTGCTACTCAATCCATCGCCGCCAGGATACTGTGGTATCTACCATATTACCAGTCGGCCCCTTCCTGGAGGGTTCAACAAGGGATTTCTGCCAGTTGAAGAGTTAAGCAGAAGCTTTTCCTTCGGCATATATACAGAATATTAGTTGAATATGTTTTTTTCCCAAAAATTTATAGGTCCTGATTTGAATATAGGACTCCATCACTTAAACAACGCACTTGACTGCAAAGAACTACAATTCTCCATATAGAATGCCAAAACGCGGGATATGCGTACAGTTCTATTCTAATATTTTATCAAGATTTTCGATATTGTCGAAAAGATTTTTTATGCCTAACAGCCGTTTTTTTCGGAAAGTGAAGACTGCCAAAGACTAAAATGACTTGAAATTTGTGTGTGTGACTACTCAATAAATAAATAACAATGGCTTTAGCTTAGTCTGACACTTGGTAATCACAATCTAGAAAAACCTTGTTAGCGGATGGATCTACGCACAAAAGTAATCCCGTAAACTAAATGAGACTTACCGAAGGTACAAGATTATTATTTTCTATAGATTATAGATGAAACGGCAAAATTTTATGATAACTGCTAGTCAAGATTAAGAGTAATATGAGGTTTTGGGATTATGTGGCAACACGAGTACATCTGTTCGTTCTGTTTTCTATAACCTGAGCATTAAAATCGAATGAACATAGCATTTTCTATCCATATTATAGCAAATTATTTTATTATGAGGCAAACTGGGTACTTATTTTCGAAATTTACCAATATTTTGTATAAGTATACCGCTATACGCAATTATGTGAGTTATCAGATGAGAACCACTAAAAGTATAGCGTAGATTCACAGTTAGTTTTACCCCGAAACTCTGAAATTTAAAACCTTTATTTAGTACATTCGACCGAGTAGAAATAGTAAAATTGTATGAATAATTTTTAAGTGTATGCGCCACACAGTAGCGTCGAAGCGGGATTTGAACTTTCGAGTGGTTTTTGGTGTTTTCCACGCGCATTGTGGTCGCGCGTGTAACTGTGTGCATAGCATGGTATTTGTGTAAATGCGTTTTAGAAGCTAGCAGCCGCGACTTGCAGCTACTTGGTATGCCGAGCGGATGTACGGCGGAGTGAACCGGCGGCTTGCCAACCGGCTTACGCAACCTATTTCGACGACTAGTATTTAAGCATTTACGGGTGTAAACAAAGGAAACTGCAAAACGAAGCTGGTGAGGGGTAAAAAATGCGAAAAATTTATATGAAAGTGTGCGTGTATGTGATTGTAGGGGTGCGAAGCAATGGCAGCGCTGAAGGTTGAATTGGATAAAGTAAGGCAGGAAGTAAAAGGAAAAATGTGGAAGCTGACGCCTAAATGGAGCGGATTTATGCAATATATCTAGGCATATATGTATATGTAATATTCTGAGCGCTCTCACTAATTCACATATATGTCAGAGTGGCATTGCAGTGTACTATTTGCAGAGCCGCACACATTTAAACACTCATTTTAACACATTTGTTTAAACGTTTTTAGCTTTTCTTGGTTTATTTTGTGGTTTCATAAATGAAGACACTTAAGAAAGCATTGAAAAGCGTGTTTTATGCGATTTTAGCAACTGTCTCATTTCATTTCCCACGCGTTGTAGTCGCAAAGTAAACATAGCAACGGTGTATGTGTGTTCAGTATAAGCGAAAAGTAGCAAAAAATAATAAAATCTTTAAAAATGTAGCACTGCTACAACTAATGTGCTGAATTTGCATGGAAATTGCAGCATTCGTGCGCGTATGCACATAAATCCGTATAAATAATGGCAATTTTGTGAGTGCATTCAAATGCATTGCATACCTCAAGGCGCTATCTGAGGATTTTACGCTGATTCCCCTTTTCATCTTTTTTCTTTTGCTTACTGTTTTTATCTCTTTTCCACGGCTTTTTTTTTTTGCTTTGTAAGCATATTTTTATATTTTTTTTTAATTTTTCAAATTTTTTATACTCTGAAATGTGTGACGAAGTTTGCAACACCCAGAAGAAAACGTCAGAGATTTTCTAAAGTATTTATGTAAATGATCATCGTGATGAGCTGAATTAATTTGGCTATGCTCATCTGACTGTCCGTCCGTCTGATCAAATTGTTCAGATCGCGTCACTATAGCATATAGCTGCCATATAAACGGACCGATCAAAATCAAGTACCTTTAAGCAATCTTTTATATTTGTGAAGGGCATTATAGTATCGATGCAACCGAAATTAACATTTTATATTTATTTTAATCTTTTTTTTCTTTCTTTTTTTATCTGCTACCACTTATTTACTTACTTCCTTATTTTTATTTTTAATTAAATTTTTTTGACCTACGCACGCTATCACTGGCATAAGTGTTCGGCACTTACCTCGATTTGAAATTGCTGCACCTGCACCATGCCACAGCATACCGGCATGCAGGATACAAGCGAGGCTAATTACAATTAAAATGGGGCAATTCATTCTGAATTGTGCCGCGTAGGAGCGACGTGGCAATGCTGTAGTTGATAGCGTGTTGTGCGACTGTGACTGCAGTTGCGATTGCCGTATGGCTGCTGACGTAACTGTTGGCGACGCAACTGCCTGCAACGTGGTGGCGCAAGCCAATTCTGACACAGCTAATGGTGACGCGTTAACGGACAATACGCTGACGCTGCGTTGCTTCTGTGGCGCAGCGTTTGCAAATATTTCGGTGGCTTGAGTAGATGTCTGTTTCGTAACGGTGGTAGCAGTGGTGGTGGTAGCGCTTATGGTGGGCTGTGTAGCGCTGTTTTTGTTAATTGTATGTGCCGCGTTGGCGGCATAAGCTTGCGCGCCGCAACGTATGCTATGCGAAATTATGCGCATTGTTATGAAAATGGGCACACTTGAGCGCTAGTGTGTATAAGCAATTGTTGTTGTTGTTGTTGGTTATTGTTAATTTATTTTGTGTGCTTTATTAACGTACCGCTTCTTTGTTTTGGTTGCTTCTTTTATGTGTGCACTGCAGAGAGCACTTTTTTAACGTCAATTTAATACTTGTTTTATACTCGCTTTGTGTTGGCACTTCCGCCGTGACGCAGCCGCCTTTGCATTCGGAACAAAAAGCAAGCAGCTTAAGCTAAGTGGCTTTCTTATTTAATTTTACGCTTTTATAAAATATTATTTCTCTACTTTCTACGCGCTGCTGTTGTGCATTTTTATGAGCGGCGCTTCCACGAATTTCCTGTCTTTTCTTACTCGCTTTGTAATTTACTTTATTTCCGGCACTCAGTTTGGCTTAAATGCTCTTATTTTTGTGCCTACTCACTTCTTAAGCGCTGCAAATGCTAGACAGCCACAATTTGTTGCATAGCCACAGGCGCTGTGGTCGGTTTTTCATCTACGCGGCTGCCACAAGCTCATAGACACACTTGTATGCACTTATTTATGCGGTTATGCATTTGTTAATTTGTCACCGCTATTAATCAATTACTGCGTTGTTGTTTTTTAATTATTTTTCTGCAATTTGTTTTTGTTTTTATTTTCATTAAGCACAAATAAATAAATAAATGCATAAATTTCGCATTAAGTATGCGCTGAAAATTGCAATTTTCAACAAATGTGTGGCGCTATAATTTATTGCACGATTTTTAGCGTTGCCACCTGCATATGCTGGCAAATATTTACTCTGTCAACACGAAATATTTGCTATTTATGCAAATTAATTTTTAACACGTTCACGCCACAAAATGACACATATCCGCGCGCCGCAACACACACAAGCGCACTAGTGCCGCAACAGTGCGACAGGTGAGCCCGAATTTGCGCTGTTGTCGTTTGTTGCCGCCGAACACTCGTGAGAATCGCTGACAAGCTTTGATTTATTGCAATTGTTTACTGACACATTGGCGCGCGCTGCTTAACGTGAACTGATGCTGCCGCCTGAAAATTAATTTCGAAAAATAAAAAAGTAAATATTAAAATTTTACGCAAAGAGTAAATATATGCATGTGTGTGTGTATGTGTAAATATGTTATTTAAATATTTATATGAAATAGTTGCGTCTAAAAATATTTTTGATATTATTTTGATTACTTACTAGTTATTTGTGCGGCCAAATTGAAGTAGTAAATTATTGATACATAAAACTAGTTTAAACGAAAAGTGAAATTTTAGCGCACAGGTAAAAAGTAGCCACTCTTTAGGCTCAAACTTTTCATACAAAGCTTTAAATTTTTTTGCAAAATTATTTAGATTTTTGACAATTTATGCTGCCTGCTTCTATAAATGCGTAATTTTCAGTATTTTTCAGAGATGGAAAAAGCTCACAGAAAATGCTTAATTTTTCAATAATTACTCATATAATTTTTTAACAATCAACCGACAGTAAAAACATGCATATTTTTTAATAGAAAAAGTAAACCTTTTTCAATGTAATTGAAATTTGGCAAATTTTGTTCAATAATTAACCCACATGAACGCAGTTCTGCTCTTAGTCATATAATAAAATAAATTAAATTTTTAAGCACTTAAAACCAAAAAGAAAAAATTAATTCTTTATATAAACTGACAGTAATATTAACCGAATTAATTTTTGTGAGAAAAGTGTAATGTGTCCGATATACGAAAATGACGTGAACCATTCCGCTTTGTTTCCAATAAAATAAACATTTTTCGGGCAATATTACTGTCAGTTTATATTAAAAATTATATTTCACTTTATAGCTTAGTCTGTGTAAATCATATTTTTTACTCTTTTAAACCATATTAATTATTTGGCCACACGTGAAGTTTTCACTTTCTTTAAGGTGCGTTTGAGTAAATTAAAAAATAATATATTAGCTGCATAGTTTGTTTGCATTGCCTATCAAACTGTTGATTGTTTTGTCAATGCCATTCAGTTTAAGGGCCACTGAAAATAGGTACAAATACTAATTCATACAGGTTTAGCTAATAAAAACGTTATAAATATATACATAATACAAAAAAGTTTACGTTTTCAGTTGGTGCAACCTCATCGGAAACATTTTTTATATCAAATTTTCGTAGAATATTTATCAGCATAACTTGATTCAGATCGTTCAGTTTGTAAGAAAGCTATATGCTATAGTGGTCCAATATCGGCCGTTCCGACAAATGAGCAGCTCCATGGTGATTTTATTAAATTACGAAAAATTTTCGTAGGTATTTTTGCAAAGTTGTTTATAATTATTATAAAAATTAACGTATATTTGTAAGATTTTGTTCAGTCAGTTCTCTCTTAAACATCTGTTAAAAATATATGTACTTGCTCTTTTCGATGGGTTGCTACTCGTTTCTGAAATAAATCCTACTTGCAGACATCCTGTATGATTTTTTTTCGATAAATGCACCCCAATATTTAATTTTTATTTGTAGCTGGAAAATGGTTATTCCAGTTCTTTTGTTAGTAATTGTAGACCCAGATTTAGCTAGATGACCAATTAAGATTTCAAAATATATTAACGCAAGGTGCAGAAAGCTCATTTAAAGTTTTGGACCACGATTATTTTTTCTTATTACTTAATATCCAAACAACTATTAGCACTTATATTATATATGTATGCTTATTTGCCTCTCATAATTTCGCATCATGTTCGTATATGAGCGAACAAGTCAAGATTTCAGCATACGACTGTAGCAGTAATCTTTCTATAGTCGTTTTAGACGAAAATCCTATTTCTTTGATTGGTTTATAGTTAAATCTTCGTAACAGGTAACGATGCTGTCAATGTGAAGGTAGTGATGCTTACCGAAATGGCCTCAATTCCAAGTAGATATGTAAGAAATGTTTTTTGAGAGCGCAGCTGTAGCAGATTTACCCTCTAGAAATTAGGTAAGGAGAAAGAGAGACAGACAGAGAGAAAGAGAAATGAAAATAGCATGGATATAACCTTTATCTTTTCATTTCGGAAAGAACTGCTTGCGATATAAGACCGTGATTGTTAAATACCTAATTGAATATATTACTTTTTTCTGCTACGTGACTTTTCCAACATTTTCTAATTGAGAGGCAATAAAATAGATGCACTGACTCCTGATAATCTAAACGATAATTTCAAAGTACGCTTAGAAATCTAATATCTTGCCACACTTAAGGGCGATGCAACGTTATATTTGTCTAGATTGGAGCTAAGGCACACAGGAGGAACACAAAGCCCAACAAGAAAGCAATAAAACTAAGTAAAAGAGGGGAGATGATCCTCTGAGTATCTGAGGCGAAGACAGTAGTCTCCGTGTACTCTGTACTAAGAAAACTAAGCAAAGAGACATATACTACCATCTCCGACCATAAATATCCGTAAGATAACTAAAAAGATCTGTTCCAAGGTTCTGAGTAGATTAAGGAGGAGTATATACGTATATATATATACACATATAAATATATACGATCACACAGCCGCAAGCAACAAACTTTGGTTATTCTGTACCATTTTATTCCTATGAAATATTTTAGTGTTTACTATTTTGTTTTTGTTGTACATCTAAAGTAAATGTCCTCATATATTATGAGGCCCTTCAACTCGAACACCACTTTTTTCTACATAAACCCAAAATTTTGTATTTAACATTTTTTTTTACCACACTAATATTCCTACAGTAACTCTCCAAAGTGCAAACATTTAATTTTGTAACCAGAAATGAGACCACGACGTGCAATTACCAAATATTCAATTACCAAACTTTCAAAACTACTTTCCATGTTACGGACGTAATACTATATGAGAACACACACACGTGCTTACAATTATATAACGCTGGAAGTTGCATAAACACAGAGGCAATGGAGGAATATACATATATACTGAGACATGTCATCTCTATATTTTCCAACCGTTTGTAGCAAGGAAAACAAAAAATTATTCACTAAAAAAACCGCGCTTGTAGCACGAAATGGTTGTTGGCACCAAGCCTATCAACAAAAACTGAAATTATTTCATTATCACATGCCGTAAAATGACAGCAACAACAACACTTTGCAAAAATAAAAAGACAAAATCTGGGTTAGGTGGCATCACCAGAGTATTATATGCAGTTAAACAAGTTGAGTGAGTACATATTAACTCCGGCAGAAGGGCGCGAGGGGCACACAACGCTCGGCATTCAATGGCGAAACAATGAAGTTATAAATTTAGATTAACCGCAAAGTTGCGACAGCAGGCAAAGCAGCACACACAAACACATGCATTTCGAGCAAACAAGGGCACTACACATGTAAACATACTCACACACACACACATATACACATATATGCAGATAAAGCAAACTTGGCAGCCATCGTTGGACAGTCTAAGCCAGCAAGCCATTAAAAGTCGCTACAAAAGTCGTCCGATGCTAATAATTATCGTTTGCATTATGAGGGCACACACACACACACGCGCCATATACATATACACGCAGAAAGATGCAAGCACTCAGACAACGGCCATGATACTAATAGCCCCTGTGTTAGTAATTTTGCGGATCAGCGCTAACGGTGGAGTGGTTTTACTTTCATTTTGTCTACAACAAATGCGCCACCATTTCCTGAAGGTGCAATAAAATGTTGTTGTACATTTTTGTTTTTTGATTTTTTTTTTGGTTTTTCAAAGCGAAGCACAGTGGTGTTTTGCTGGCGAAAACTTTGAAATGTTTCTTCTATTCGATTGACGTAGTTTCAAAATTAAAGGTCTAATCAAGTGAGGTTCACAATTTGTATGCTCGTCCAGAAAGCATAATAGGGGTGCGTGATGATAATCAGATAAGCTGTCATGAAAGCCGAATATTGAGAAGAAAGTGAGAAAGGTATCCATAGCCTTATACGAGTATTTCGCTCAGCAGCAAGTACGTAGTCCACGAGCGGCTATCATTGGCATCTGTGGGGTACTACGTACAGCGCCAACCCGTGGACATAGTCGGAAAGAAAACAACATTTGTAAATCTTCTCTCACTTTGACTGCATCCTTGATAAACTGCAGCTATACGTCATGTAGCCTAACTCTTGTGGTAACTTCTCCGCGCACATACCTTTGACGAATATGTGGGTGGAGCGCAGCCGTTGGAAAAAGACACCGTGAACTCTTCCACGGATGGATCGTAGTTAAAGGTGTTGCTTGAAGGGAGAGTCTTCTGTAGGGAGCTCTCAACTTAACTTAACCTTTGCTATAGACTACTAAGGGGTCCATTGAATTACTTGTTCTTAGCACGATTTATCTCATCGCAATGAGTTCTATTGGCACACAAGCGGAGAGGCTAAAGGTTATAAAGTCCCAACTCGTCGAAGTTGCATAGAGGAAGATGAGGTGGAAAAATTTTGACACATTCTCTCCCACTGTTCAGATTCAACCAGACCAACGTTGAAACATCTCGGTTATCATACCTTCCAAGAACCAGATAAACTGGCTGGAATTGATATTACACGCCTCAATAAATTTGTGGAATATTGCCAAAATGAGAAATCTTTACTGAGAACTTTTGGGCATCACAACGGAATGCGTTTGTAGCTGTACAAGTTTGATTATTCGCGATCCCACTGCTTACCCAACCGAACATATGTACATATGTTTATCAGAGTAATTTTTATCGGATTAATTTCCAAGAAAATAAGTAGAAATTACATAGGTAAAGTATCCCCCCTCTTTTTCTAATACTTTTTTCTTAGCTAAGCGTGAATAAATCTCAAGTTTGGCTGAATTTTTTTACGAAAATATTTCTATATTTCAATATCTTCGACCTTAGTTTTTTTTATACCCTGAAAAGGGTATATTAGGTTTGCCACGAAGTTTGTAACACCCAGAAGGAAACGTCGGAAACCCTAAAAAAATATATATATAAATGATCAGCATGATGAGCTGAGTCTGTCTGTCCGTCCGTCTGTATATACGCGAACTAGTAACTCAGTTTTTTAGATATCGATCTTAAATTTAGCATATAACCTTTTTTCA